CTCGATCCGGCCGGATTCGAACCGACGTCTTCTAGCATACCGTGCCAGACGCTATACCAACTAAGCCACGGAACGAACCAGCGGACCTCACGAATTTTTCTGTGTGCATGGGTCGTATCTTTGTATTTGGTTTTTCAACGACTTTACAAACTAGTGAAGTAATTTCAGAAAAAAAAAAGTTGAATATCAATCAATAAAAAATTAAAACACAAAAATCTTTTTTAGTCAACTATTCTAACTCTTGTAAATAATTAGTAAATTATAACAATATATAAATAGTACATAAACATAATTTTAAAAATAGGTAAATAAGCGGTCGAGAGAGATTACGTATCACTCGGTGAAGCGAGGGGTCACTGTCCTTCGCGGTGAATACACTTGGGGACAATGTTACAAAACTTTACTAGATACCAATTTTTTTTTAAATATATTTTTGAACGATTCAGCTTTATTTCTATTATTAATTTCTTAAATATGGGGAGAATGCAAACTATAACTCAATATTGACCAAAAGTGTCACTTATTCCATTATGCTTTTCAAACGTCGATATAGTTCAGCCGTTTAAAAAATAAACATTTAACAACCTGTATTGTGGAATGTATAAAAAAACGTTAAAAAAAAGACATTTTAAACGCATTGATGACGAAATCGGTTATGTCCGTACTTAAGAAAACGTTCGTATTTTAGGTTAATTAACTTCGTCAGTTCCGATCACGGCTTATTATAAACCGAATTATTCCCCTTGCGTTAAATCGTTAACCGCGTCTCGCTTTTGTTCCCTCTACGTTGAGTCTATAATACCTGTTTCGCTTATTCCCTTCTTATCGTATATGGTATATACTATAATGCTTGCCATCGTGGTAAAAGCATTTGCCAATCGGCGTACAGTACGCAGAGTTTAAAACAGAGGGAAAGGAAATTGATTGGGTGTAAATACATTACCAGTACATCTGTTTTCATAATGTCTCCCGGAATTACTTTTGGCAGATTACAATAGTAAGGTCAAATCTCAATTCATTATCGAAAAAATGTAATGAAATGCGAGTCGCATCCATAAGTTTTTAGATTTATAACTAAAAAAAGTTTTAATAAAAGGAAAATGAAAATGTTTACACTTAATATATCGTCAATTCGCATGCTTTGTTTTGCATAGAAGTTGTGCTGGACAACGATCCTGTGAGTGACGATCGTATTAGATTTCAATTTCATTTATAAAAATTTCGAAAATCAAATGTCGAGTTGTGTCGTAAAATTATAAATCCATAAATTTTACTGCACGTCACTATTGACACCGATGTACAGCAATAAGCTCCTTCAACGTAGTTATGAATTAATACGAAACTTGATGAGCGGACAAACGTCAAAACGGCCATCATAGCGTGCCGGTGCTATAATGTGCCAAAAATTTTAAATTTACGATGAAATTTTTGGGCGGTCCCATTCCGCATCGGACCTGGGCTCGAGTAGGAATTACAGCCCAAGCCGTCTTTTTGTAAAAAGAGGCCTGTGCCCAGAAGTAGGAACTTTCAGGGTTTTTTAACCTGGTGACCGCCACTAACAAAAACTAGCTTTTGTTTCCTAGACGCCAAGTCTAGTGATGGACGTGTTGTGAATAAAAAATTAACCTTATATTAATCCAATTCTCTTAAGTTAAAGAAAACCATAACTGAACGTAAAATGCTGCTATGAATCCATACTTAACTAGAATATACAAAAGCGTAACTATGTTATTAACATTCATCTTATTTTATGAACGTATTTCTCCAGCTATATTTGTACGAAAACAAAACAAAAAGAATACAAATTTAAAAGGAATAATAATCTCAGTACAGGTACTAAAAAAACCGACCTCAAAAGTTCGTGGAATAACATCTATTTACCAAGTATTATTGAAATCGGTCACCGGAAAGTGCGCGAAACCGGATTCGGTGGAATATTTACATCAAATTTAAATGTGACCACTTCTGAGGTACCCTTTTTGATACGGGGTCCTTCAAACGAGGCGTGAAGAGGCATATTGTAGGCAGGCAGGGTGGAGGCGGCTAGTGCAGTGAGGATTCCATCGCTGCACTAGGTTCCTTCGCGTTTGGATACCACTTTCCACTTAACATCAGGTGGAGTGGAGTCATTTGCCTGTCAGGTATAAAAAAAAAAAAAAAAAAAAAAAGAAAGAAATCAACAAAAACGTAATTACAAATCTGATAAAAAAGTATAGTCGAATTGAGAACTCCACCTTTTTTTTGAAGTCGGTCAAAAACTATAAAATGTATCAAAAAGCACGTATGGTGTATATCGACAGTGAACTGGCAACCGGTACTACTATACCGATTGCCAGTTCACAGTCAATATAGCGTAGTGACGTTTTCGTCTTTGCTTTGGCTGTACTACCCCAAACTTGACGTAAAGGGAACAGGAAGTGTAAACACCGAGATTGTCGCAGGCACGAAAATGGTCTTTAAGACTAGAAAGCACGGGGAACAATTCTGAAAAACTAGTCCTTGAAAACTAACGTTTGGATTTTTGAAATCGATTTAGCTTAAGTTTGAACTGTCGTAGATGGCAATTCTATTAGCCTTAACGCATTTGACATGATTCCGCGTCATGAAGCTGGCTACTTAAAAAAACACTAAGGGTCAAGTCACACTGACAGAGCAGAGGCGCGCAGCGGCCGGAGGAGTTAGCACGATGCCCCTTTAACTAGTAGCTACAGTCTCGCATTTTATCACTTAAAATCAATTTGAACTTTATTCTTTAGAATATAAGTTTGAAAATGCTAAGTACTGTAAAGATCGTACCATGGGTTAGCATAGCGAGAGGCATTTTTCAATAAGAAACGAAATAAAGATTTACTGCGTATGTACAACTCAAGAAATGGTCTAGAACAACCGCGATTTTCATTTACCACAAAGCTCTTTTATAGTTATACAATTCTAAATACAAACCTATATTTAGACAATTCGAAATACAAAGTACTACCTGCTACCTGCTACCTGCTACGTCCCTTAATTGAAGGGGTCCTCTCTAGTGCCTTACCTATGATAGGTAAATTCAAACATGTTATCAACCTTTACTACAGGCTAACCACAGTACTACTTTGCACAAAAGATGCTCCCCCGGCTGCTGGTCTTTCAGTGTGGCTTGACCC